CCCGGCCCGGCCCGGCCCGGCCCGGCTCGGCTCCAGGGCCGGCCCCGGACCCCCGGGAGGGAGAGGCCCGGCCGCTCCTGGGGCCGCGGGGAGCCGCCAGCCGAGCCCCCCCTCACGGGGTTTCGGCCGTCCCGACCCCACCCAGCCCTCGCCTCACCCGCGGGCAGCCGGCTCCGAAGGGCGGGAGAGGGAAACAGGCAGGAGTGGTTCGCCCTGGGTGCCTTTTTCCACAGGCTGCAGTGGCAGGGATGGACAGAGCCCTCCCTCGGTCATCCTGGCTGTGCTGGGCAGGCTGCAGCCCCCAGACCCCCCGAGATCCCTCCCTTGCTCATCCTGGCTGTGCTGGGCAGGCTGCAGCCCCCAGACCCCCCGAGATCCCCATGAGATCCCCCCCTTGGTCATCCTGGCTGTGCTGGGCAGGCTGCAGCCCCCAGACCCCCCGAGCCTGGGGATCCCCTCCTGCAGGAAAGCCCCACAGGGCTGGGGCTGTGAGCATGGAGGCTGGGATGTGTGGGGAGCTGCTTTGTTTGAGGGGACACAAGACCGACTGTACCAGCCAGTGTGAGATGTGTGAGAGTGTTTGAGGGTGTGAGAGGGATGTGCTGGCACCCCAACACTTTCCCCCAAGAAACGAGCCACGGTGAGAGCCCAGCAAATGCTTTATTGCCAAGGACAGCGCTTCCCTCAGGCCCCAGGCACAAAAACAGAGGCTGCCTCACCCCATCCCATATCAATCCATACAGACAAGCAGGTCCTCAGTGCCGAGAGCCAGCCCCGGCACTGAGTGCCCAGTTCAGGCCACATAGGGGATGGAGGGAGCTGGGCTGCGTGGTGGGGATACTCCCGTGGCACTAAGGCACCGTGCTGTGCCCCAGGGTCACAAACCCAAACCCTGCTCACGAGCTGCTGCAGGCCTGAGGCTCTGCTGGCCCGGCTCCCCAGCAAAGTGCAGGGTACCCCGCAAACAGCAGCAGCTGGGCTGGCACAGAGGTGGCCAAATCCCGTCAGGAGCAGAAATATCTCTGTGCTACCCAGGCACCTGGCAGCCCTGCACACATCCCAGTGACATCCTGCTCACCCCCTGTCCCCTCTCACGTGTACCTGGCCTGCTGGAGGTGCCCCTCTGCTCCCGTTTGCTGTGTGGGATGGGGGGTTCAGCCTGGCCTGGGAACCTGGGGCACAGCCTCCCCGTGCCCCATCAGAGGAGTCGTCCCAGGAGCTGAGAGCCGGGAGAGCTGCCCCAGGCCACGGGCAGGGCGACAAAGCCCAGCTTGCTGTAGAAGCTCAGCTGCTGCCGGTCGGCGTCGCTGACCTGGCAGAACACTCCCCGTGAGCCTGGAAGGGAGGCGAGAGCTCAGGGCACTGGTACCGGGGGCACAGTGACAGGGACCCCCTCCATAAGGGGATCGGTGTCTCCCCTGCCCCTTTGTCACAGCGTGATGCCCTGAGGCACAGGCCCGCATGTCCCCAGGGCAAGGGGAGGGCACTGAGAGCGCTGGCAAGGGACAGCTCCCGGCTCTGGTGGGTGAGGAGCCCTTGGATGAAGGGCAGCCCTCAGAGGTCGTGCTCACCGTTGGCTCTGAGTGCGCTCAGCAGGCAGAGGGCCAGGCTGCGGCTGGCCCCCACATCCAGCACACGGGGGGCTGTGCCCAGCTGCACCAGGGAGGGGAAGCGCCTCAGCACGGGCTGGGGCACTGCCAGCGGCTCTGAGTGGAAGAAGAGCACTGCTTCCTCCAGGGCATCCTGCGGGAGACAAGCACAATGAGGGATGCCCCTCCACCTCGCCTGTCCCTGTGCTGCAGGTGTGCCCTCACCTGTCCCAGAGCTGGCCCCGCTGTGCCCAGCTCTGGGGGGTACTTGTGCCGTATGGCTGGCAGCCAGCTGCTGTCTCGCTGCTGCAGGAAGCCTTCGGCGTGGAGCGCTCCGGCTGCGTAGCCACAGGGGCCATCCTCATCCTCCAGCACAAAGGTGTACTCGGGGCTCAGGCTGAGGAAGCTGCCCAGGAGCCTGCCAGGCAGAGCAGGGGCACAGCTGAGCTGAGCCTGGAGCCCCTGGGAAACCTCAGAGCAGCCTCCCTCTTCATCCTCCAGCTGGACAGCACACCCAGCACCCTCTGACCACCCCTTTGAGACCCTCAGCCAAGGGGAGCCATTGCAGCCTCCAGCATCCAGGCTGGACATCCACAACGGTGGCTGCTGGACATCAGCATGGGGATGTCCCTCCCTGTCCCTCCCAGTGAGGCCACTGGGATCTCCACAGGGATGCCAAGAGAGGCCATCTCCTCACTGCCCAGCCCTGCACCGTGTCCAGGAGGGAGCCTCAGAGGGGCCACATCTCACCTGTCACCGAGGAGATCCGGGTGGGCCACGAGGATCTCTGCCACTTTGGGATCACAGTCCAAGCTCTCCCGGCACATGCGGTAAAGCTCTCCCTGGAAGAGCCGGATCCGTGTCAGCCCTGGCTGTACCTGGTGCCACAGTGCCAGCCACCACCTTCTGCTGGCCTCGGGCTCGTGGCCACAGCACAGGCAGCCTTCAAACCAGGAATTGCCATTCTGGTCAGGCATCCGAGAGCAGCTGCTGGAGCACACTCAGAGCAGCCAGAATGGCACCAAAACAACCCTGAAACTGAGATCTCCAGAGAGCCTGAGCACAGCAGGACATCCCCAAATGTCCTGGTCACAGTTGAGTTTGCTGCTGCAAACATTGCTCCTGAAAGGGGAGGCTGCCCTGATCACCCAAAAGCAGGGGCAGGACCATGCCCTGCTGTGCCCGTTCCTGCAACAGGCTGATGGGCTCAGCTGGCTCTTCCTCTCAGCATTGTTGTTGCCAAGGTTCAGGTTGAGCAGACGAGCTGCACTCGTGTCTGTGCTGCCTGGATTTGTGGTGTTAAGCCTTTCCTTGAGCTGGAGAGGAGCAGGGTGAGGGACAGGGGTGCTCGCTGCAGGTACAGGGGAAACCTTGAATATTTTGTCCCTCCATTGCCAGATTCTCCTTTTCCCTCCCCATCCCATGAAGGGATGGCAAAGCAGAGCTGGCACCAAGCAGGTCACAGCTGACAGAAACTGCTGCTCTCCAGCAGGGAATCACCCCAGAAACTGGGTGAGTGTTTGAGGAAGGGATTTGGAGATGGATCCCCACAGGCTCTGGCAGTGCCCGGAGCTGCTGCAGGAAGTTGCCATCCACACTTGCCCTGTTCTGGATTTTTCCTGACATCTGCTCACAGCCAGTGCTGGAGATCAGCACTGGGGCTGCTCTGGAGATCATCCACAACCTGGCACCCCTGCCCTGGTGCTGGTTTACCCATGGCTGAGGGGCTTCCCTCTCCTGCTCTGCCCTGTCACAGAGAGGGGGATTTGCTGAGGCCACAGCACGTTCTCCAGGCCAGGATCTGACACGCTGTTGACCACAGCCCCAAAAGCTTCCCCAGGCAGCTGGCTCTGAGCAGAACTGGGCACAAGAACCCTCCCCACCTGTGTCACCCCACACGGGGAGCTCAGCCTGGGCTCAGCAGCAGATGAACCTGTCACTCATCGTTTTACAAGCCACACAAAGGGTGGCAGGACCCCCCTCCATGGCACGGCTCCCACCTTGTCCAGGGGCAGCAGCGGGCGCAGCTGGTACAGCTGGCTGGACGGGAAGAGCGGGGGTGGATGGTAGAAGAGGTCACAGCTGTTCCCCACGGGCAGCAGTGCCTGGAAGAGATACAGTCCATCACCCTGGCTCCAAACCTCATCCTGGAGGCAGCAGGAGAACGACTCTGAGACTCCTGAAACCCCAGGAACCGCAGCTGAGGTGAAGGGGCATGGGACAGCTCTGCCTTCCCACGCTTGCAGCAGCTCAGCAGCAGGGTTGGGGTGCTGGCCTCCCAAAGGCTCCTTCAGCCCCACGGCGAGGGGGGGACACGCTCTCACCTGCAGCTCCCCAAAGAGGCCCCCACGGCGCGCCCAGGGCTCGGCGTCCCTGCCCAGCAGCACGGGGGCAGTGATGCTCTGGCACCCTGGAAGCAGTAGGACACAGACACACGTGAGGTGAACACAGACACACGTGAGGTGAACAAAAAGCTGCTGGGCAGGGGGACATCAGCCTCTGTCACAGCTCCAAGGAGCTGCTCCCCAGCTGTGCAGCCCAGGATGGTGACAATGTGCCCTGAAGGCTGATTTCCCTAAGGAAGGGGCTCAGGGCACACGGCTCCCTCTCACACTGAATTTGGAGACATCACCCGGTAGCAGTTCTGGGTTTGTAAGAGGGCACAAGGCCCACAGAGCAACCAGGGGGTTCTAAAGCAGAGGAAAACTGTGCAAAATGATGCACAGGCATTCAAAACACAGCCCCACCTCTCACCCAGGGCGTTACTCCTTCCAGAATCCTTTTTCCACACAGGCTAAGGGGTCTTTGGGATAAAAGGGCTGAGGAACCATGTCCTGGAAATGGCTGTGGGATATGGTGAAGAGCTGCTGCCACCCTGGCAGCATTCCCAGGGCCATTCCTGCAGGCAGAGTGTGGGGAAGGAAAGCCTGATGGCTGTGGCATTCACATTCTCTGAACAGACACAGAGAGAATTCTCTCTCACAGGTTTTTTCCTGGAGAAGCACGGAGAGAAGAAGATAAAACAATTCTTAACAGAATCCAATTACCAAATCCCTTCAGGTAAACAATTTTCCTAACACATTCCACATATGCAAAAACAACAGAAGCAGCAAGTAGAGCTAAGAATTGTTTTCTCTCTGTGCTTCTCCCAGAAAAAAACCTGTGAGAGAGAGAATTATCTCTCTGTTCAGAGAATGTGAATGCCACAGGTGGCGATGTGGGGCTGGAGGTGATGGGGGCAGCAGCCAGGAGGGTGAGCAGGGCAGTGCCCATACTTACAGCCAAAGCAGCTCCCCCAGGTGCCCTTGGGGTCCGGGTCGCACAGGAGGTGACCATCTGCAAAGGAGGCGACGTGGTGAGCACAGGACACGGGGGAGCACCAGCAAAAGTGTCTGAGGGAGCTGCAGCAGGCACCCTGGCACTACCAGAACCCCACACCTCTGGGGCAGGTCCCAGACACCTCCCCCTTGGGGAAGGGAGCGAGCCTCAGGTGTGCCCCAGTGCTGCAGGGTCCTGGCGCTGTGACACGGCTGGGTTTGGATGGGCGTGCTGGGGGCTGGCAGGGCTGGCAGGGCTGGCATCAGCCACGTACCCAGCCACAGGACGAAGGCACTGGCGGCCAGCAGCATGTTGCGGATGTCCCAGAGGTAGGGGTGCAGGTCGTAGAGCAGCTCCCTGCTGGCCGTGCTGACCAGGCGGCTGTGCAGGCGGCACATCCGAGCGCAGAGCAGCTGGAAGGACTGAGCCCGGCCCCGCCACCGCCTGCCCTGGGGACACACTGCCTCTCAGCCACCTGCGGGGACACTCGAGCCACCGCAGCCGCCTTCCAGGAGCTGCCTTACCCCGCAGGCATCAGGCGCCGTGGCCGGGACCCCCACGCTGAGGCTGTTTGCTCGCAGCCACCGAAAGTGCTCCAGGAGCTCCTGGGCCAAGGCCCCGTGGTGGTAGGGCAGGTAGAAGAGCTCCACCAGCATCCGCACCTCCTCCAGGCTCAGTGGAGCTGCAGGGCTGGACACGGCCTCCTCTGGGGTCAGGGGTGCTGTGGGGATGGGTCTGGCCTCCTTGGGGGTCATCAGTGCCATGGGGTTGGACTCAGCCTCTTCTGGGGTCGTCGGTGCCGTGAGGCTGGTCCTGGGCTCCTCTGGGGTCACCTGGGCTGTGGGGCTGGTCCTGGGCTCCTCTGGGGTCACCTGGGCTGTGGGGCTGGTCCTGGGCTCCTCTGGGGTCACCTGGGATGTGGGGCTGGTCCTGGGCTCCTCTGGGGTCATGGGGCCAGCCCCAGCCTGCTCTGGGGTCACAGGTGCCATGGGGCTGGTTCTGGGCTCTTCTGGGGTCATCTTTGCTGTGGGACTGGTCCTGCCATCTTTGGGGGTCCTGGGGCCAGGCCCAGCCTCCTCTGGGGTCACTGGTGCCATGGGGCTGGTCCTGGGCTCCTCTGGGGTCACCTGTGCTGGGGAGCTGGTTGTGGCCTCCTCTGGGGTCACCTGTGCTGGGGAGCTGGTTATGGCCTCCTTGGGGGGCAGCGGTGCCATGGGACCAGGCCCAGCCTCCTCTGGGGTCACTGGTGCCATGGCACCAGGGCTGGCACCAGCCCCAGGTCCTGGGGGTGTCTGGGGCACGTCAGTCCTGATGGCCTCAGGCTGGGTGCTGCTGGGAGGTGCGACAGGGCTGCCATCCCCTGCCCTGGCATCCCTGGTGGGCAAGGAAATGTTCTGACTGCTGCAGCTCGTGGTGGGGCTTGGGCTGGGGAGGGTCGTGGTGGCCACTGGGACTCCTGCAGACTGGGCACTGCCAGCCACGCTGGGCACAGCAGAGGGGGGCTCACGGCTCCCTGTGGCGAGCTGGTCCCCAGCCCTTGTAGGGCTCTGCTGCTGGCCCGTGGCTGTCCTGTTCCCACTGTCCTCCTCAGGCTCTGAGGTCACCTCCCTGCACCCCTGCTCTGGTGCCACCCCACAGGGCTCAGGGCTGTGCTGATCTGCCCCACCAGGAGCAGAGCTGTGGGGCTGAGGGTGGGGAGTGACCTCCTGTCCTCCTGCCCTGCCAGGCTGCAGCTTTGGTCCTCCCTTGAGGCTGGCACTGGGGTGTCCTGGGCTCCTTCCTCCTGCCAGAAAGGAACAAGAGGGAAGCTCCTTTGGCACCTGCATGGAAACCACTGCCCACGGGGCAGGACAGTGCCAGGGACCTCCACCCCTGAGCTGCCAGGACCCTGGGCTCCAGTTCAGGCCCCCAGGGCTGGTGAGGCTGTGGCTTTGCAGAGGCAAACATTGCAAAACACCAAGCTCACCCCTGGCTGACCTCTTCCTGCAGAGCTGGCCCAGGCTCTGGTTCTGCCAGCCAAGGAAACCCTCCAGGCTGCAGCCCTGGCAGGATGGACAGCCACAGCTGCCCACCATGGCACACGCCCATGCTGCCACACCAGCCCCAGACCCTCCAGACGGGCAAGGTGGGGCTCCCTCACCCCCCACCCACCGAGCTCCTGGCAGAGCTGATCCAGCTCTCCAGGGACCGAGGGATGCTGCTGCAGCAAATCCATTTACCTGCCTGCAAGGCCTGCTGGTTTATCTCAGCCACCCAGTCACGCAGAGCCAGCTCCAAGGCTTCCTGGGGGCTGTAGCTTCCATCCTGAGCACCTTGGCTGTCCCCCATTCCTGAGGAACTGCAGAGCTCAGCCCAGGCAGCCCTGGCTCCGTGCAGGCCAGCTCAGGGCAGGGCAGGCAGAGATGCCAGGTACCTGCACGGTCAGGCTGGGCACAGCTGCCCAGCTCGCTCTGGAACCAGGTGCCCAGCGTGTGGATGGGGATGAAGTTGGCCTGGAGCTCGCAGTTGGGGTTGAGGAGCAGCCCCTGGAGCCTGGACATGAGGCCAGGAGCTCGGCCCATGTAGGGGCCCAGGAAGACACGTCTGCAGTCGTAGTCGTTGGCGTAGAGGTTGTCCCAGATGACGGGGCAGCGCCTCAGCACAGCCTCCACCTCCTGCAGCAGCTCTGCTGAGAGCTCCTGGGACACCACCTTGGGGCCTGGGCCATCAGGCAGGGACACACGTGGGGCACAGGGTCCATCACAGACACGCAGCAGGGACAAGGACACGGAGATGAGGTTGCAGTGTCCCAGGCAGGAGAGCAGAGCCCCAGCTCCCACCCCTGCCTGGCTGGGGCTGCACACCCCAGTGAGAGGCACCACAGCGGCGTCACTTGCTGGTGGCTCTCCCAGGACAGCCCGTGGCCACAGACACTGCACGTGTGTGTGACCCAGAGCTGCTCCTGGCTCACCTGTCCAGATGACAGCGATCCCTGGGAGCAGCTCCTGCCCGATGGTCTGCAGGTAGCAGGACTGGCTGGGGCTGGGAGAGCACAGCGAGCTGCAATACTCTGGGGAGAGAGCACAGAGCATCCCCTGAGAGCTGGGGACCACGACAGGAGCAGCTGCTGGGATCATGGACTAGCTAGTCCAGCCCTGAGGTGGCCACAGCTCCCCTGGGAGGCTGAGGAGCCCAGGCAGAGCTGTGGGGGCTGCCAGGGCACTCAGCTCTCAGCAGGGACACCCCAGTGCTGAGGGGGCTCCCCGCTTTGGGCAGCTGGGGCTGCAGGGCTGCAGGCTGTACCTGTAGGGCAGAAGAGGAAGGTGGAGGGTTGGCCCAGCTCCTGGTACACCTCGTTGGCCACAGAGGCCTGAGCCTGTGCCAGGGAGGGGAAGACATCTCTGTCAGCTTGGCACATGCAGGGGTCGATGTCGTCGAAGAGCAGCGCGAAGGAGCGGCACCCCATGGCAGCCACCTGTGGGCACAGACAGGGGCTGCTGGGACCCCCGGGCACCAGAGAGCCCCAGGGGGCTGGGCAGGGGCATCTGGGCACGGCACAGCACGGGGCATTCCTGCCCGGGCCGTGCCAAGGGAGCAGCAGCTGCCCACGGAGCGACCCCACCATGCCCTCCCCGGGGCTCTGCTCCAGCCTGTGCCAGCCCTCAGTGCTGTTCTGGGCTTGGCTGGTCCTTCTCCTGCCGCTGGTCAGGCACCCATGGAGCCCTCAGCTCCCTGTCACAGTGACAGGGACAGCACATTGGCCACTGGGCACCCAGACCCTCTGTGCAGCACCCCCAAAGCAGCACAGGGAGCACACATAAACACATGTGCCCCTTGCCTGGCAGCAGTGGGATGAAGGAACGGCCCACGGTACCTGCCTGAGTTTTTGCTGCAGCAGGAGGCGATCCCCAGCGCTGGAAAACACCATGTCCTGGCCAGCAGAAACGGCGAAAATGAACTCCACCCCCTGCTCTTGGGCTGCCTCGATGAGAGAACGCATGCGGGCTGGGGACAGAGCACAGGGGGCTGTGAGAGTTGGGAGGCACCGGGGAGTGGGACAGGGATGGAGGGGGATGAGGGACGGAGGGGGATGAGGGATGGAGGGTGACGAGGGATGGAGGGGGAAAAGGGATAGAGGGGGATGCGGAATGGAAGCAGAGAAGGGATTTAGGGGAATAAGGGATGGAGCAGGACAAGGGATGGAGCAGGACAAGGGATGGAGCAGGACAAGGGATGGAGGAGAGTAAGGAATGGAGAGGAATAAGGGATGGAGAGGGATAAGGGATGGAGGGGATAAGGGATTCAGGGTAATAAGGGATAGAGGGGAAAAAGGAATGGAGGGGGAAAAGGGATGGAGAGGAATAAGGGATGAAGCAGGACAAGGGATGGAATAGGACAAGGAATGGAGGGAAATAAGGGAAGGAGGGGGAAAAGGGATGGAGAAGAATAAGGGATGGAGGGGGACGAGGGATGGAGGGGGATGAGGGATGGAGAGGAATAAGGGATGGAGGGGGGAAAAAGATGGAATAGGACCAAGGGATGGAATGGAACAAGGAATGTAGGGGAATTAGGGGAATAAGGGGTGGAGAGGGACAAGGGATGGAGCAGGACAAGGGCTGGACAAGGGATGAAGGGAGACAAAGGATGGAGCAGAATCAAGGGATGGAATAGGACAAGGGATGGAGGGGAATAAGGGGTGGAGGGGGACGAGGGTTGAAGGGAAATAAAGGATGGAATAGGACAAGGAAAGAAGGGGAATAAGGGATGGAGCAGGACAAGGGAGGGACAAGGGATGGAGGGAGACAAAGGATGGAGCAGAATCGAGGAATGGAGTAGGACAAGGAGTGGAGGGTACAAGGGATGGAGAGGGACAGGGGATGGAGCAGGATAAGGGATGGAGGGGGACAGGGGATGGAGGGGGACAAGGGATGGAAGGAAACAAAGGATCAAGCAGGACAAGGGATGAAGGGAACAGGGGATGGAGCAGGACAAGGGGTGGAGGGAGAGTGAACCCCAGGGTTGTGAAAGGAAGGAGCTGAGGTCATTGGGAGGGGACAGGCTCCAGGAAGACCATTTCCACTCTCTTAAGACACAGAGGACTTTTGGCAAGGATCTGTGGGCCTGGGTATACTCAAGCACACTGCCTGAGCCCCACGTGGGAGGCTGGGTGCTCCCTTAGGCAATTCCACATGCTGGGCACGGTCTGGGAATCTTCCTGTCCTTGGCAAGCTCTGGGGGCTTCCCTGCACTGTGCAGGGTCCTGGCAGGATGGAAATAGCTGGGACACAGCCCATGCTTTCCCCTCAGGGACCTGGGATGCCTGCAGCCCCCCGAGGGGCCCAGCAGAGCCGCTACCTGCCTCATGCTCTGTGTAGGGCTCTCTCCAGAGCAGCCGGTGCTTCAGCTCATCCTTGGGTGCATACATGTAGCAGTTCAGCCCCCGGTGCTGCAGCCTGTGCAGGGAGAGCAGGGAGTCAGCCAGGCTCCACACGGAGTCAGAGACCTCAGCCAGGGCTGGGCTCTGAGGTTTGGGTCACACAGCAGCAGGATGTGCCCCTGGGAGGGCAGACACCTCCCTCTTTTGGCACTTCTCTATGGAAGGCATCGGATGTATTAATTTGGTTTTATTTCTCCTCCTCAGCAGACCATGTTTTACATTTCCCCACGGTAAACAGAGTTAAAGCACTTCAGCTATCTAATGATAAAAGTCCCTTATTTTGTTTCTTTCCAGGTAAGAAAAACACTGATGGACGTGGCACCCTCATGTGCCCTCATGAGAACACATCCCAGTGTAGCACCAGACCTGCTCATTCCTGAGCTACTTTAAAACATCCCAGCTTGTTTTCCTTCCATTTTCTGTACCTGTATCTCAGGGAGCTGGGGGTGTTCAGCCTGGAGAAAAGGAGACTCACAGGTGACTTTATCACTCTACAACTCCCTGAAAGGTGCCTGTGCTCAGCTGGGGCTGGGCTCTTTCTCCAGCAGCACTGACAGAACCAGAGCACACAGCCTCCAGCTGCACCAAGGGAAATGCAGGTTGGATATCAGGAATTTTTTGAGCACACAGCCTCCAGCTGCACCAAGGGAAATACAGGTTGGAGATCAGGAATTTTTTTTGTAAAAAGGGTGATAAATTTCTGGAATTTTCTGCCTGGGGAGGTGCTGGAGTCACCATCCCTGGGTGTGTTTAACAAAGCCTGGATGTGGCACTGGGTGCCAGGGTTTAGCTGGGGTGTTGGGGCTGGGTTGAACTCCATGATCTTGAAGGTCTCTTCCAACCTGGTCATTCTGTGAACCCTGTAAATTCTGTCCCTGCACTCTGGTCCTTAATTACACTTGTCACTGCCCACACTGTCACCACTGCACTGCCCACGGGAGGCCCTGCAGAGCCCCAGGTCAGTGGTGGCAGTCACTGGTGGCAGTCACTGGTGGCAGGTCCTGTCAGTGCAGCTCATCCCACTGACAGCCCAGGCATGGGCAGCAGCTGCTGGAGCTGCACCTCCCGTCCCAGTGACACATCCTTTTGTCCAGGGTGACACACAGACATGCACGGGGGCTCCCAGGGTCACAGCAGGCAGGGATGGCAGCCTCAGGACATCCTTGGCTCAGGATGGAGTGATGCCCTCCGGTCCCACCGGGATCAGCCCGGCTCGGCGAGCCCCGCCAGGCTGGAATTGCCTGCCTGCTGTCCTGGCTTGCTGCTGGTGGCAGCGGGGACGGGACTCCAGCGGGATGTGCGGAGCCCCAGCACCACCTGCCGGTCCCCCGTCTGTCCGTCTGTCCGTCCGTCCCGCCGCACCCACGGCCCGGCCAAGCGCGGATCCTTCGGGGGCCGTGAGAGCGCTGGGACAGGGGGACACTGCAGGGTGAGAGCGCTGGGACAGGGGGACACTGCAGGGTGAGAGCGCTGGGACAGGGGGACACTGCAGGCGTGAGGTCCCTTGGCTGCCCCCTGCACCTTCAGAGAGGAAAATTCAGGGTACTTGCCACTGGAAGAGGAGTTTCCTCTGATCCATCGACCATGGTCTCCCATAGAAACCTGTAAAAGGGAGGGGAAAAAAGGCAAAATGCATTTGTTGGAAAGTGCCCCGGAACAGTCTCTGGGTTATCCCTGAAGGCAGAGATGCACTGCCAGGCATGCAGCACCCATTCTGCCTTTGGGATCTCTTCCAGGGAAGAGCCCTTCATATTTCTGCATGTAGGAAGAGCTGGGAGGTGCAGAGCTGTCTGCAAAGCCAGGGAGAAAGGATATCCAGAGGAACACAAACCCCTTCCCCTGGGACAGGCTGATGAATGGCTTTGGAGAAATGCAGATTTGACAGCTCCTCAAAGTGGAGGTTAATGGGAACCTGTCAGAGTCCCACACAGACCTGAGATTTAGCAAGAAAACCTTCAGCCACTTCAATTCTCTTCAAGATCTGGCAGATGCAACGTGAAGTCTCACAGAAAATCCATTATGTCTTGGGCAGTGATGGCAATTGGCCATCAAGGTATCTTCTGCTTTCTCTCTGCATTGTGGGCAGCTTTTGAGTCAATCACTGCAATTTCCCTGACTGCAGTCAGGGCCAGGGAAGCAGATACTGGGAACTCACAGCATTCCCAGAACTGGGTGGTGCAGAGGGGCAGGCTGCCCTGACTCCACCAAGCTGGGAGAAAGGGCCAGCTCTCCATGAGGCCAGTGTCACCTGCATTTCTGAGTGTCCCAGAGCTCATCTGCCCTCCTTCCCTTGGCTCACTTAGGCAGGAGCCCACCCTGCAGCCCCCAGCAGCAGTCCTGGGCAATGGTGAGGGGGTTTGCACACCCACTCTCCATCTGCCTTCTCTCTGCAGGCAGATTTTCTACCTGCCTGAACACCTACATGGTTATTCCATATATTTTGAAATAATATATTGTCACCTTGCTATCAATGCCCCACCGTGCATGGGGCCAAATCTGCGGCCACTTGAGAATCCCAGCAAACATTTCACCCAAAGAAAGTTATTTCTGTGGTAAATAATTTGCTATTTTGAGATCCCAGCGAGGTCCCCAGAGTCCCTGCATGGCCCCTGCAAGTGACATTTCCACAGCACGTGTTGCTGTGAGCTGACGTGAGCAAGGAGGCCACTCAGTCCTGCACACTCCCTGCCAGCAGGGCTCTCCTGGTTTGGATTTATTTGCCAGCATCATCCCTGTCCCCTTTCCCAGGTCAGCTCTACTCTACCGGTGATTCAGGGCTGAATCATGTCAGCTCCTCCACCCCTGCATTTCCTGTTTGTTTTGCATTTGTTGGCGTGGTGCTCCTGCTCCCTGTCAGGTGAGGCAGAGGGCAGTGCCCTCACAGGGCACCGTGCTGCCAGCAGAGGGGCAGAGGACTCTGCCAGGCCGTGCTCGGCCCCAGGGGGAGCTGGGGATGTGGGGAGGGAGAGGCACAGAGCTCTCCCTGCCCAGCCCTGGCCACGGGTCCTGCGCAGCTGACCCACGGGCAGGGGGGGCACGTCGGGAAGTGCCCCTGAGTCCAGGGCAGCCAAGAACCCCAGGAGGCCGAGCAGAGGCTCCCGGTGCCCCCCTGGCTCTGCTGGGGTGGCTGCAGGGCTCTCTGGGGAGCGCTGGGAGCATCCCAGAGGTGCTGGTGCAGCCCCCCGGCAGAGATGGGGGGCTGTGCAAGGGCCCCGCTCCCGCCTCCCCCCCAGCCTGGGGCCCTCCCCGACCCCGCTTCGCTTCGGCTGGATCGGAACGGGGTCGGGACCGGCTCCGCCGCGGCCCCGGAGGGACTCACCTTCCACCACGCCGCAGAGGAAGCGCGGCCGCTCCGCCATCCCCGCGCAGGAGCGGCCCCGCCGGCAGCGGGACAGGCGCGGGGGGCGCGGGGGGCGGAGGAGTGAGAGGGGGGATGGAGGAGTGAGAGGGGGGATGGAGGAGTGAGAGGGGGGATGGAGGAGTGAGCGGAGGGATGGAGGAGTGAGAGGGGGGGTGGAGGAGTGAGAGGGGGGATGGAGGAGTGAGAGGGGGGATGGAGGAGTGAGAGGGGGGATGGAGGAGTGAGAGGGGGGATGGAGGAGTGCGCGGAGGGATGGAGGAGTGCGCGGAGGGATGCGCGAGGGGATGCGCAGAGAAATACGCGGAGGAACGGACGAGTCCTTGGGGGGATGGATGGATGGATGGATGGATGGATGGATGGATGGATGGATGGAGAGAGAGCGGGGGTTGAAGGAGTGCCTGGGGGGACAGAAGGCGCGCAGGGGGATGGAGGGTGCGCGGGGAGGGATGAGGATGTGCGGGAGAGGATGGAGGGTGCGCAGGGGGATGGAATGTTTGATGTTTGCCGGGGGATGCAGCGCTCGCGGGAGGGGATGGAAGGATGCGCGGAGGGGTGGAATATTTGCCAGGGGATGCAGCGCTCGCAGGAGGGGATGGAGGGTGCGCGGAGAGCTCCGCGCAGGGGCGGCTCCACCGCCCGCCCCCCCCGGGACGCGCTCGCCGCAGCGCAGGGGGCGGCCCCGCGGGTGGGGCCGGGGCGGAACCGGGGGGGGTGTCCCAAAATCCGTGCGGAGCCCCTGGGAGGCGATGCTTGAGCCGCAGTCCGGAGCCCCCGGCGCCGCAGCCGCCGCCGCTCCCGGGCACCGGAGTCCCCCCCGGTTCCCCACGTCCCCAAATGCGGGGGTCCTCCCGGTGCAACACTTCTTGAAGCTCCCCGGGAGCCCGCAGCCTCCGAGGGGTGGAGTGTCATCATCTCCCTGTGCTCACCACCGAGCTGGCAGCTGCCCCGGGCACACCCTGATGCCAGGCCCGGGGTGCGATGCCCTCCAGGTCGGTGCCACCGGGCTGGCCGTGTGCCCTGCAGGTCTCACCTGCCTGCCCGTGGCTGTTCGCTCTGTGCCCCCCGCTCTGAGCCGCTCTCTGGCTCGTGGTTTGTCTGTCCCACGGGCTGTGCTCTGCAGATGTGCTGCCACGCCGTGAGCTCCCTGTCCTGCAGCTGCACAGGACAGAGCCCTGCCCGCACACGGCCCGGGCTGTCTGACACCACCGAGTCGTTTTGTTCTTTTTCAGGGCCTGTTAATGTCATTTTTTTGCCCGGGTTTGTGGTCTGATCTTTCGTCTGTGTTGTACACTCTGTTATTTGTATTGCTGTGGTTACATCCCGTTGGTGTTTCTAGCACATTGCTCTTATCTCAGCCTGTGAGATCTTTATTTTTCCTGCCTCCAGTTCTCCTCTCCGTCCTGCCTCGGGGGAGGGTAGGGCCGTGAGCAATTGGTCTGGGATGTTCCAGTGTGAGCACTTAACTGGGGAATGTCCTTCCTAAACCAGGACAGCAGCACAATCTCGTCACCACGCAGATGTGGGGTGACGCCAGGACAGTGCAGAGGGTCACCCCTGCATCCATCCAGGCACTGCAAAGCTGCCCTCAGCAGCTCTCCCCACCTGCAGCCGTTTCACCAAAACCACAGGTGGAGAAATGGGCATCAGAGCCTGGAAAACCGGGACTGTGGCTTCTGCCTCCTCCCTTTGCAGGTTTATGTTGTGTCAGGAAACCGAGTCACGGTGCCTGGGCCATCAAAGCAGCAAAAAACCCAAGAGTGTGTGACCAGCAGTGAGCTGGCAGGGTCCCAGTGCCATCAGAGTGCCACCAGGCTGGCTCACCCACGCTGGGTGTGCTGAGCACAGGCCGTGCTTGTCCTTGTCCTTGTCCTTGTCCTTGTCCTTGTCCTTGTCCTTGTCCTTGTCCTTGTCCTTGTCCTTTGCCTCACACCTGTCCCAGCTGGGAATGCCTGGCCCTGCAGGAGGCTTCTGGGGCAGACTGGAGTGGCCAGCGGTGACAGGGACAGCACTGGGAGCAGCCCAGTGCCCCTGGAGTGGCCTCGGTGCCCAGGGATGTGGCATGAGATATGGATGGCATCACCCTGTCTACAGTCAGGGAATGAAGTCGTGCAGGGCTGTGCACACACAGGTGTCTGCTTTGCCTTCTCTGCTCTCTCTGCTAGCACCTGGCTATTCCATGATTTTCTTGGACTATAAGCTTGAGGTAAGCAGCCTCTAGTCCTCCACTTAATTTTTTTTTTCTCCTGGCAAAAACATCACTCCTTTTTCCTGTCCTTTTTCCATCACTCCTTTGTCCTGTCCTGAACCTCACCTGTTCCCTTGTCCACGCCCCATATTGCCCTCTGTGAAAAATGTGTATTTTATGACTGGCTTTTTGTAAATATTCAAATGAATATTGTATGTGTTATGTTAGAAAGTGATGCTGTATTCATCTTCTTAAGTAGTGTGTTAAATGTAGTTTTAGGTTAGAACATAATGTTAAAATAGAAACTATGCTATGTAAGATACTCGTTTTTAAAGAGAGGACTTGCACTGAGACAGCAGCCACCGGACACCTGAATCTTTCAGAGAAAAAGAATTTATTGCTCCATTATCAGAAGGAACTAACTTCTTCCTGGCTTGCTCATTAAGAAGTTGACACTGACCAGACAGAATCCTTTGTTTGAATAGAATTTATGCATCCTGTATGAGGTGTATGAATATGCAACAGGCTATTGATTTTAAGGGTTAATCCTCTGTTAATGGGTGCCCTTTTCTGGGCTTATTTTGCCCAGAAAAGGTACCCGGACCGTCTGTAACTCTTTGTTTTTATTATCTCATATTGTCCTAATCCAAATTGTCCAAATTTTTATTACTCTAATTTTATTACTATTTTAATAACCACTTTATTACTATTAAACTTTAAAATCCTAAAAACAAGTGGTTGGCGTTTTTCACACCTCGCTTACCCTCGGCCCATCCGAGCGCGTTTTCCCTCCCCGTGGAGAGCACACGCCTGTGTCACGTGTGGAAAACGACAAAAAGTCACCTTTTAACTACAAAACTACATTTATCGTACTGTTAAAATGTTAATGCTGCACTGCTAATCAACACCACACAACGCACACTGTGAATATCTGCGCAGAGCCGTGTAACACGCGCTTTCCACACGCGCGTGCGTGCACGCGCCCAGCTGCGCGCACATCTGCCCGCGTGCACGCGCACGAGCACGCCCCGCCCCTGACACGCGCGTCCCCGGTTCCCGTCCCCATCCCGGTCCCCATCTCGGTCCTCGTCCCTGTCCCGTCCCATCCCGGTCTCCGTACCCGTCCCGGTCCCTGTCCCCATCCCGGTGCCCGTCCCCGCCCCGTCCCCGTTCCCATCCCGTCCCTGTCCTCGTCCCGTCCCCATCCCGGTCCCGTTCCCGTTCCCGTCCCCTCCCGGTCCCCGCCTCGTCCCCGTTCCCGTCCCCGTTCCCGTCCCATCCCCATCCCGGTGTCCTCACCGTCCTGTCCCCGTCCCCATCCCGATCCCGTTCCCGTTCCCATCCCGGTCCCCGCCCGGTCCCCGCCCCGTTCCCGTCCCCATCCCGCCCCATCCCCGCCCGGTCCCCGCCCCGTCCCCGTTCCCGTCCCGGTCCCGCCCGGTGCCCGCCCCAGCGGCGCGGGCGGAAGCGCTCGGGGATGGAGCCGCCGGCCATGGAGGGGCCGCTGCTGGTGCAGCAGAGCCACAAATTCGGCACCAAGGTGAGTCGGGCCATCCCTCCCTCCCTCTCCCTCTTCCCCTCCTCCCCGCCAGCTCCGGGGCCGCTCCCGGTGAGCGGCGGCCCCGGCGGGCTCGCTGTGACCCCGCTGCCCGCAGCGCTGGAAGCGCGGCTGGTCCGCGCTCTACCCGGCCAGCCAGCACGGCGTGGCTCGCCTCGAGCTCTTCGACTGCAAGGAGCCGGCCGGGCGGGCGGGCACCCGGCGGCTCGCCCGCACCGTGGTGCGGCTCAGCGACTGCACCAGCGTGGCCCCGGTGGGCGACAGCGGCCCCCGCGCCGGCACCGCCACCTTCCGCCTGGAGACCCGCGACCGCAGCTTCCTCTTCGCGGCCGAGAAGCAGCAGAGCGAGGAGTGGGTGGCCAAGCTGTGCCAGATCGCCTTCCCGGTGAGCCCCGGGCTGGGCGGGAGCCGGGGACAGGACGGGACACGGGTGGCAGCGTGTGGGGTGGCACCTTGGCGCCTGGCAGCTCGGGGAGGACACCCTGAGGTGTAAAGGTTTGAAGTGCCCGGCCCTGGCGCTCTCGGTGGCTCCTGCTGTGGTTTGTGGGGCTCCTCGGCTGTGCTGTCAATAATTCGAGGTTGTGGCTCCGAATTTCAAGTCGGGCTCTTCTTGCCCGGTGCAGAGCCCGTGCTGGCCCTGCAGAGCTGGCAGGAGCCCAGCTGATGGCCAGGAGCGTTTCCTCTTGGCCCAGCCATTGCTGCCTTTCCTGCCACAGCAGCCAGGGTGGAAGCAGAGCCTCGAGAGCCTTCCAGGACCTGGAACCCCTTTCCCAGCCTCGGGGCTCGCTCCTGGCTGCTGCTGTGGGCTCTGGAACCCTGTCCAGCCCCTCCTCTGCAGCCCTGGAGCTGCTGGGCAGCAGTGTGCCAGCCTGTTTGTCAGCGGGTGCCCTGGCTGCGTGGTTTTCTGTGCCCTCTGGGACAGCAGCCCACGCCTGCCCAGCTCCACAGCGCTGCCTCTCCCTCCTGGGAGGTGTCTGCAGAGCCCTGGGTTGGGCTCCAGCTGATTCCAGGCTTGGAGTGCTGGGCAGGGCTGCCTGGCAGGAGGGCTGTTAATCCCAGGATGTCCCTTGAGTGTGATTTACCTTTGTCCCTCCCTGCAGTCTCCTGGCAGGCCAGGTGTGTCTGTGCAGCAGACCAGGGCTGGGAGGCACTGGTGGAATTGTCTCTGTGTCTCCTGGTGCAGTCAGGGTTGCAGCCTTTGCCCTGAAAGTGGCTTGTGGGGCTGAGCTGGGGACACAACACACCCTGGGAGCGGGGCAGGGTGGTGGCCAGGCCAGGGAGCACCTGCTTGGAGCTGCCATCCCCCACATGGGAGCCATCATTTGTGGGCCTGAGAAGCAAGCTGAA